GCGCGCGCGCGCGGTATCGGCGAGAATCAGCGAGCGGAGAGGGGCATTCTCTCTGCTTCAGAGAGCCGAGGGGGATGATACGATCCCGGCGTCCTGATTATCGGATCCATCGCGTTTTACAGGCTTCGTGCGTGGATCAGTCGGGCCGGCTTCGAGAGGCATGGTGCCTTCGCGATACTTTATCTACGGACATGAAGAGGTACTCGAGAATCGTTTTCAGAGTAATTGAAATGGCACTCGAGTCGAGCCGGTACCCCGATATGAACGAGGCATACTCTCTCTCTCTCTCTCTCTCGAACGTGCCTCTATCTCGCCTGTTTATCGTTCCTAATATGTTGACGTTTTTCGCGCTGGCACGTGCTCGCGCTTTTCGATGGGCCCTCGCGTCGCTGAGAATTCAAGCTCCTCGCTTTCTGATGCGACGATCGAGCTGATCAAGGGGCTGAGAGACTGACGTTCCGTTTCAATTTTTGTCACGGCTGGGCAAGCAGCATGGAAATGAAGGAGATCCAAATTCTTCGACTTTTCTGTATCTTCTAAATGTCTAAATTTGATTAACTAACAATTAACGTTCCGTGTGTCGGGCCGATGTTTGGTATGACCGATTACGATAATAATAGTCCTAGCTTCTGAAATACGTTTTACAATTCTCATAATAGTGCTACAACTACAACTAACAAGAAAAATTTAATTTTAAAGTATTGTTGTAACAATTTTTTAACGACGTCAAAGTTAATTAATTTAAAATAAAACATATTCGTTCGAAATATTTTTAATATTATCTTTTATCGCACTAAATAATAATGAATAATATTAAATGATAACAATTTGTTATATAAATTATACAATACTGAATACTAATAAGTAATATTTACTTTTCAACGTTGCTTTGATAACAAATTTTACAGCGTCTTCTTACCTTCTACGAATTGAGTTGAGTTCTTAGCAGCACATACGTGTTATTACAATAAGTCTTGACTTTATCACAAATTTCTAAAAAAAAAATTCTTCGTTTTGAAAATTCTAAATCGCTTGAAAAGTACATCAATTCGAGCGAAATGAAGTTTCTTTCGTAATGAATAAAAGTTCGTAATCGTGAATAATCATTGGCAGGTAACGACGAAAATAGAGGGCGGAGTGCTGAATGGAGAGAGGCAAAGAGACGAAATATTTCAACATAGTGATATACAGAGCGATTCTATCGGAA